ATCCGCAAAGATTTCCTCACCTTTACAATTGCTTTTACTCATGAGCTGGGTCACAGCCTCGGGATGAAGCATGACGAAAAGGGGTGTGTGTGTGGAGAAGCCACCAAGTGCTACATGGCAGAGAGGTTGACCTTCGGCTCCAAGGGTTTCAGCAACTGCAGCCAGCAGAGCTACGTCAACCTGCTCAACAAAGGGCTTGGTAACTGCCTGCGCAACGTCCCAGAGCCCCACAGACTCTTCCGTTTTAAGCGCTGTGGCAACAAGGTGATCGAAGAGGGAGAGCAGTGTGACTGTGGGGGGCCGCAGGATTGCCAAGGCGATCCCTGCTGCCACCAAAACTGCACCCTAAAGCCAATGGCTGTCTGCTCTGTTGGGCAATGCTGTCAGAACTGCCACTTTCGTGCTGCAGGACACAAGTGCAGGGTTGAGGCAGACGAGTGTGACTTGCCTGAATATTGCAACGGGTCTTCAGAGTGGTGCCCAGAGGATCTGCACGTGCACGACGGGACACCCTGCAAGAATGACGGCTACTGCTACCATGGGAAGTGTCCCACCTATGACAACCTGTGCCAGAAAATCTTTGGAAAAGAAGCTCGGGGTGCTCCAGAAAGTTGCTACAAAAATCAAAACATGAAAGGGAATCGATTCGGCAACTGCGGCACCAAAGGGTCTAAAGTTGCTTTTGTGAAATGTAAACCCAAAGATGTGCTGTGCGGAAGGCTGCAGTGTGTCAATGTGAAGACGATCCCTGTCCTGCCGGAGCATGAAACCATTGTTCAGATTCCAGGGCCCGAGGGCTGGTGCTGGGGCACAGCCTACCATGCCGGCATTGATACACCTGATATCGGAGCAGGGCTTGATGGCACCAGATGTGGGCCAGAAAAGATCTGCCTTAACGGGACTTGCAGAAATGTCACGCTTAGGACCGAGTGCGATGGGAATGTTTTGTGTGGGGGGAAAGGGGTCTGCAACAACCTCAGACAGTGCCACTGCAAAGCTGGCTGGGCTCCTCCAGACTGCCAGCTCCATGGCCTGGGAGGGAGTGTGAGCAGCGGCCCCCCCCCACCTCTCAGGAAGTCCCCGGGGGAGATTGTCCGCAGCAAAGCGTTTAGGATAGGAATTGGGATCACGGTTCCCGTTTCTCTCTTGATTGCTCTCCTCGTTGCTGTAAGCAAATACAGAAAGGAAATAGCTGCATTTTTCAGTACCGCGTTATCAGAAGAGAGCAGTGAGGCTCCTACAGATGAGGAGGAGGAGAAGGAGGAAAAGGAGGAGAAGGAGGAAGAGGAGAAGAAGGAGGAAGA